GGGGGGAAAGGGAGAGCAGGCTAGAATCAGGGGGGAGGGAGTAGTACCGGGAAGGATATCCGATGGCAGAGAGGCGGGAGATAAGAGGCTGAGGGGGAGAAGAGAGGGGCAAGAAGGGAAAGAGTGGAGGTAGAAAGGAGAGGCAGAGGGGTGCGGGAAGGGCGGGGAGGGAGTCAGGGCAATGGCGGAGGAAGCGGTGGGGGACAGCAGCGTGGGAAAAGAAAGATGGAGAAAAGGAAGGAGATAATGGGGAGTAAGGGGCCAAGTTGGGACACGGACAAAGGGGGGGGAGAGGTAGGCCAAGGAGGCGCACCTATGGAGGTGAGGGAGGAAGTGGCAAGGGGGCCAGATGCATGGGCGGTGTAGGGTTGTCCCAGGGGCTGTGTCCATCAACAGTGCCTGCCTCTCCCGGGTTTCCCCTCATCTTTTTTTTTTTGTTTGTTTGTTTCTGGTCCTTGGTCAAAAGGGCGCCCTTTTGACCGTGAGTACACAGGGGCCCTTTTGACCAAGGACACCCTTTTGACCGTGAGTACACAGGCGCCTGGACCAAGGCGCTTGTCCACGGTCAAAAGGGCCCCTGTGTACTCACGGTCAAAAGGGGCCCAGGGGCTGTGTCCTTGGTCCAGGCGCCCTTTTGATGGACAGAAAAAAAGAGGAAAGAGAAAGAAACTAACAAAAAAAAGATGAGGGGAAAGGGAGGTACTGTGGAGTGCCAATATCGCGGACAAGCGCCTGGACCAAAGGAAGAAGGAGCCAATCGATTGTCAGGCTGAGCTGTCAAAATCATGTCAGATAATCAAGATCTTTTCCTTCTTTTTCTTTTTTTTTTGAAAATCAAATGGGCCCAGTGCCCAAGGCTGATTACAAATAAGAAGATTGAGGCCGGGGTCCTCACAGTCTACCTGGAGTGACCGAACCGAACTTGCTGAGAACTGGGCTCAGCATTCCTCATATGATGATGATGATGATGATGATGATGATGATGATGAACTTCTGCTGATTCCATGTAAACTGTGAGATAATCATACCATACATGCGGTGCATCGACATGCGCCGCACCGCGCACAGTGCACGACGCGTGCGCACTGGGTGTGGCGGACCCCAAAAATAAGGGGTCAAGAAAAAAAAAAAAAAACAAGCTGGGGAGGGGTGTTGTAGGCCCGAATGGGACGTCGCGTCAACAACCACAAAAAACTAAAAACAAAAATTTGAGGCCGCGCGGGGCCTCCGAAAAAAAAAAGGGGGAAGCTGAAGTTAGTTTTTGTGTGTGTCTGTGTGTGTGTGTGTGTGTGTGTGTGTGTGTGTGTATGTGTGTGTGTGTGTGTGTGTGTGAGAGAGAGAGAGAGAGAGAGAGAGAGAGAGAGAGA